CTTGATGAGGCGGATATGAAGGAGGTAAATATTGACCAGGATTCGGATACCACTAGGTCGATGAGGTAAAGAATTGTAGTGTCCTGTGATTGACACCGTGTTTCCATTTCTTCTTTTCATATCGAGCCCTTACTATTGGCGAAGGATAGTATTTCTAATCATTTCAATCTGGGAATGCACACTGCTTGGGTCGTAAAATTTGACTGAATGTAGCCTAGGTCTATCTCCTGCAACTCGAGACTTGACAGTGAATATCAAATTACACGACCTGTGGGGGCTACTGACAGGTCTTCTGTTAGTAGGCGATTGTGGGTGCAGATGCGCCCATTACCTTGAGGCTGGATGAATACAGCTAAAGTTAGTTCGGACATAGTCTACCAAAAATGTGAGGTTCTGCATCCAATCATAACAAGCTCCAGCGCACGACTCCAGCGTGGCCTACGTTAAGCGATGAATTCTCAATATTCTTTCCATAAGCATTCGAGATATAACAGGACATTTGGAAACTTTTGTTAGATACAATTGCAACATGGTAAACACAAGCTCTACGGAACTCCGACCTCGAATTATCAGGGGCAGGCCAGTGATCAATGATGCATTACACATAGAAGTTTCTAAGACCACACATCATTTAACGTTCTTGGACTTCAAGTATAAATAAACGTACTGACTCTTTGAAAGCTCACCAGGCTTCCGCGTAACCCATCCACCTCACAAGCTTTTATATCCTCCAAACGCAATGATCCCCTCTGCGACAACAAGCAATAAACGTTGTCGTTGTCGTTTCAGGGTAAGGACTTTGACTTACTCACTGTAGATTAATCGTTGATCATCGTCGATTCAGGAAACGGATCCTAGATGGCGCCCCTGCCCCGTGCACGGACGCTCCGACTGGCCTATTTTGACAATAGGCGAAACACACTCACACATCGACGATCGTCGTCGAGTGGTGAGGGGTGGCCTTGTCCATTATGCTTTAATGGTAAGTCCACTGAAGTTTCCTCGTCCACAGCACCTAATAATCATGCTTCTAATTTTTAGGACAAAAACGAAAAGAGTGATTATTACGCGCAGCGGACGGGATCCCATCCCACTCAGCAGCCGCTGTCGCCCAACCCCGATACCGTTTTGTCTTGCTGGGAAACTAGTCCCGAGTTTTCCTTCAAGCCGAACGGAATCCCTGAGACTGGTGTCAACATCAGTCAAGAACACGAAGCCCGGTCCGCACCTCACCGGATTCATGATCCACGCGATCCAATCGTTGAGAAAACATCTCAACGTACAACGAAAGGAGACTCCAACCAGGGTACCAAGAAACCGAGCCCAGGTCTCATTGCAACCCCCAGCTGGACCGGGAAACCATTTAAATCTCTCGGGATGACCCTCGCTTCGCTTTTGAACCTGAAAAAAAAATAAGTCAAAGTAGAAAGCAGTATCGTTCTTTCTCTTTTTTAAATATTCTACACGCTATGTCCTGTTTTCTTTGCGATGTGTTGAACACTGTTCTAAAAATCATGTCATGTATCTATGTATCTAAGCATCAGTAACTATTTGTCGATACCATAATTTTAAAAAGTACTTGCCTTCACTCCTGCATGAGAACTGAGAGATTGAGATGAAAGTGGGAAAGCGTGAAAGCGTGAGAGTCCTCAGAAAAGTTTTTTTTGTACCCCAACGTGATAATCGTCCATCGATAAGATGTTATGACTCGAAGGGATCTTCCAAACGCGTGTTTGCAACTTTGAACATTGTAAGTATACGATTACTAAGGTGGTAAATATTATAGTGATATTGTGTGAATATAATACAATTGCCATTGGTACACTACTGCTAGAACCCAACCTGCGAGTCAAACTTCCACACTGAAACTCGTAACCTGCGGTAAATAGCTCCCCCCAGCTAGATCCGCTATAAAAACATCGTCATAAGCTTGACTTCCATTGTAGCCACCAAAGAATCCATAACCGCGAGTCGGCAAGGATAGTAGAGTAGTATCCTCGCGGAGAAGTATGAAGTCTGTTGGTTGGCCGAGGTTCGTGTTGGAAATTTGCTAGGGAAGACGTTGTCAGCAAACCTACGAAGACGGAAGAAGGATAGAATATTGAGGCGCAATATGAAGCGTCAGTTTTACTGATCTAAATTTGAAAATTGGATATTATTGGTATATTCACCACCGTTATAGCCTCTTTGGATGAAGAGGTAGGTTAATACTTCAAGCCTGTTAAGAATATAGGTAATCAATACTCAGGCGTCTCACAGTAAGGTGGAAACGACTGTATTGAGTCGGTACACTACCTGTTAAGAATATAGGTAATCAATACTATGTGAAGTAATCAGTAAAAGTACGAAGAGCATCAAAGAAGATATAGAGCTCACCTCAGGCGTCTCACAGTAAGGTGGAAACGACTGAGGTGGGCGATAGGTAAAGATAGATATAAACAAGAGTCCGAAACGATAAGAAACGGAGGCAGATAAGTAGATAAATGATAAACGAAGCCGATGCGATGGAACGGCGGGAGGGATCAAGTCTCGCGACAAAGCCCAAGCTCGAGTTCATCGTGAGTTGATTATCTTTTATTTGTCGAGATCTCTGGGCTGAACTATATTGTCGTAGAGCGATCGCAACAACGATTATATTCGTTTTATTGATATCGTTCTCTCGCTCATCATCTCATATTCTCATACAGCGCCTCTTGTCCCACTGCATCCTCCACGCCCACCATTTCCTCCACAAAGTCTACATCTTCTAATTCCAGTTCATCTAATGCAGGGGCTGTCACCGGAGAAACCATCGGTGCACTTGGTTTTTCTAGCTGCATTGATATTATTTTCGATGTGGTTCTCTGACTATACAGGAAACAACAGCAAAATACCAGAGTATGGCCGGACTTTCGTACAGACCAGTGCTCCTGGTAATGGAAATGGTCACGGTGTAATTCTTACTCCGGTCGTCGTCACTCCATATAATAGCCCAGCGTCTACTCAACGCATCGCGTCGTGGGTGAGGAGATTATACAGGCCATCGAAATATCTTGATGAGTCGGATATGAAGGAGGTAAATATTGGACAGGATTCGGATACCACTAGGTCGATGAGGTAAAGAATTGTAGTGTCCTGTGATTGACACCGTGTTTCCATTTCTTCTTTTCATATCGAGCCCTTACTATTGGCGAAGGATAGTATTTTTAATCATTTCAATCTGGGAATGCACACTGCTTGGGTCGTAAAATTTGACTGAATGTAGCCTAGGTCTATCTCCTGCAACTCGAGACTTGACAGTGAATATCAAATTACACGACCTGTGGGGGCTACTGACAAGTCTTCTGTTAGTAGGCGATTGTGGGTGCAGATGCGCCCATTACCTTGAGGCTGGATGAATACAGCTAAAGTTAGTTCGGACATAGTCTACCAAAAATGTGAGGTTCTGCATCCAATCATAACAAGCTCTAGCGCACGACTCCAGCGTGGCCTACGTTAAGCGATGAATTCTCAATATTCTTTCCATAAGCATTCGAGATATAACAGGACATTTGGAAACTTTTGTTAGATACAATTGCAACATGGTAAACACAAGCTCTACGGAACTCCGACCTCGAATTATCAGGGGCAGGCCAGTGATCAATGATGCATTACACATAGAAGTTTCTAAGACCATACATCAGTTAACGTTCTTGGACTTCAAGTATAAATAAACGTACTGACTCTTTGAAAGCTCACCAGGCTTCCGCGTAACCCATCCACCTCACAAGCTTTTATATCCTCCAAACGCAATGATCCCCTCTGCGAAAACAAGCAATAAACGTTGTCGTTGTCGTTTCAGAGTAAGTGCTTTGACTTACTCACTATAGATTAATCGTTGATCATCGTCGATTCAGGAAACGGATCCCAGATGGCGCCCCTGCCCCGTGCACGGACGCTCCGACTGGCCTATTTTGACAATAGGCGAACCACACACCCACATCGACGATCGTCGTCGAGTGGTGAGGGGTGGCCTTGTCCATTATGCTTTAATGGTAAGTCCACTGAAGTTTCCTCGTCCGCAGCACCTAATAATCATGCTTCTAATTTTTAGGACAAAAACGGAAAGAACGATTATTACGCGCAGCGGACGGGATCCCATCCCACTCAGCAGTCGCTGTCGCCCAACCCCGATACCGTTTTGTCTTGCTGGGAAACTAGTCCCGAGTTTTCCTTCAAGCCTCACGGAATCCCTGAGACTGGTGTCAACATCAGTCAAGAACACGAAGCCCGGTCCGCACCTCACCGGATTCATGATCCACGCGATCCAATCGTTGAGAAAACATCTCAACGTACAACGAAAGGAGACTCCAACCAGGGTACCAAGAAACCGAGCCCAGGTCTCATTGCAACCCCCAGCTGGACCGGGAAACCACTTAAATCTCTCGTGATGGTACTCGATTCGCTTTTGAAGCTAATGAAGAATAAGTCAAAGTAAAAAGCAGCATCTTTCCTTCTCTTTTTTTAATATTCTACACGCTATGTCCTGTTTTCTTTGCGATGTGTTGAACACTGTTCTAAAAATCATGTCATGTATCTATGTATCTAAGCATCAGTAACTATTTGTCGATACCATAATTTTAAAAAGTACTCGCCTTCACTCCTGCATGAGAACTGAGAGATTGAGATGAAAGTGGGAAAGCGTGAAAGCGTGAGAGTCCTCAGAAAAGTTTTTTTTGTACCCCAACGTGATAATTGTCCATCGATAAGATGTTATGACTCGAAGGGATCTTCCAAACGCGTGTTTGCAACTTTGAACATTGTAAGTATACGATTACTAAGGTGGTTAAAATTATAGTGATATTGTGTGAATATAATACAATTGCCATTGGTACACTGCTGCTAAAACCCAATCAGCGAGTCAAACTTCCATACTGAGACTCGTAATCTGCGGTAAATAGCTACTTGAGCACTGCGAACACGTTTTACATTGACTGAGAGGTTTTGTCCATCATCAAATAAGCGCTATTAGTGGTTGCTGAGGTTCGGTGGTGTAGTGGTTATCACGTCTGTCTCACATAATGTCATGTGCACAGGAGGTCCCCGGTTCGAAACCGGGTCGAACCACTTTTTTTTTCTCTTACTTTGACATGTGGTTATGTAGAGAAATTTATGTTTTTTGAGATTTGTTAGATTGCATGCGTGTGAGGAGTAGAAATGATGTCACAGCCTCCTAAAGTGGCTACGGAATTCGGAATACTTTGCGCGGCGTTTCGTTCCCTTCACTTTTCAAATTTCAAACTTTTTGTGGTCTTTTTCTTCTGTTCTGCTCATAAGTATTTCGACAGCAGCGTGCATCAGTCACGCTTCAAGCAAGAATAAACACCCAGAATAGATCTTATTTGGAATTTGTGGAATTTGTAGAGTTCGCGTCGACACCCTTCGGTAAGTAAATTTAATAAAGAGTATTATCGCTTCTGAACTGCTCCACTTCTCCGACGTTTGACTGACTGTTGATTAATTGAATGGGGCGACGCTATGTATATAGGACTTGCTGGGGACCTTGATAACAGGCAACCAGGAAACCGGATAGATCCCGGAACAACGACAGACTTGATTGGGAAGGCATTGAGGCAAGAGGAAAATCACAGGGTCAGCGGAGAATCCACGCAAAAAAAAATATGGCTGGGAGCAACTCAGACTCGAACTCTTCTCCTACTTCGTTGACTGCTGCGGGAAAAAGGCCAGAAATTACCACCAACGACTCTCTTAATCAGTCTCACTTGGCATCTAATTCTCACAATCCCTCTACGTTTATCTCCACGTCCTCTATAGACGACCGCGAGCACGACGTTGCATCACCACCGTACAGACCAGAAGCCAGTACAACCAGCTTGACCGGTCAAGACTTGTTCTTGAATCCCAATCATCCATATTCGAGTTATCCTCCTAGTCCTGCGTACAGATCTCAGGCAAACATGTCAGACGAAGTTCACCTTGAAGGTGACCGGCACACCACTGGAGGAGGAGACGCTAAATGGGAGGGAGAGCTACGTGATACCAAACATAAAGTTCATTATCCCGAGTCGATCGATATGGAGCCGGTCCCAGTAGTTTCGGGCGATGCCATTTCACCTGCTGCGAACAAGGCTAACCTTAGACTGGACGAAATACCTTCTAGTAGAGATTTCAACCGTTCCGGAACAAACAGTCCAGCTGATGCGATTTCGCTCGCTGGAACTGACGACGAAGAGGATGAGAGCGACTATGACTGGAGTGGAGAAGATGATTTGGTCGACGAGGAAGCCAAGTTTGAGCACCAGATGGGTGTTAAGCCTAAAAGAACGGGATGGGGATTCAAAAGAATTGTGACTTTACTGTTTTCCTCCCTCCTTGGCTCCACACTCTTTGCCGGTATTCTCGTCACACCCGGGATCTTAATTCACTTTTATTGGTATAACGATAATCCTACCTCTCATCGAAAATACGTTGAACAAAACGTTCAAGCATGGTTATTTTGGGCTGCTGCCAACCTTCTCTTATCTTGGTACCTCGCTGTTATTGTCGACCTTGTTCCGACTCTTGCCACATTCATAATCGCCGCTGCTTGGGGTCATGTTTCCGAGGTATTCAAATCTCGCGTCGAACTATACAACTCCGTTAAAAACACATTCAAACCCGTTTTGTACGCGGCTAGTGCTTGGGCCAGCTGGGTTATCATCTTTGGTCATATTTTCAACCTCTATGACACTGTCGACACGAGTCAGAGCAGGGCTGGGTATACCCAGCGTCTCTATCAGGTCGTTGAATTTTTGTTCTTCTTTGTCCTCGTAGTTTGTGCGCAGAAGATGCTCTCACATGCGATCGCTTTCGCGTTTCATCGAACGGCGTTCAAAGAACGTCTTGATGAGGTGCAGCAGGCTTTGAAAGTCATAGAGCAGTTGCGGAATTATAGACCCAAGCATGGAAGACAGTCCGGTAGGTCAAGTGGTTGGGCATGGGGTACCCCGGTATTGGAAAAGGCGGGATTCGGGTTCGGAAAGAGTCATCATAAGGCGTTCTCCTCTTCTCGTCAACATTCGCATCGAAGCCCAGACGATGGTGGATATGGCGCTGATGCGGATAATGACTATGACGATAGGACTATGGTCGGTACCTCGTCTAGAAAATCTACTTTCGGCAGCACATTTGGGTTATCAACCAAGGGAAAGAACAAGAATAAACCTCAGTCTGGTGTCCCTTCTCCGTCTGGTGATCACGAATTGGGTGTATTCACTTCTGCTACATCCCCTCTAGCTCGATCTCCACATTCTCCTTCACCAGAAACCAGTCGTCCTATGACTCCTTCTACATCTGCTCCATTCATGTTGAATCAAACAGCCTCCCCTGCTACCATCTCCCCTTCGGAAACAGGTCGTGGGACTCCACATCGCTACCCTCCTGGCTCAGGCATAAATACCGCCTCTCCACGCCCATCAATCGACAACGCAGCAGCCGGAGCCTCTGAAACTCTCGCAGCAGCAGCAAAGGCTCTAAAATCCGCCGTCCTTCATGATGCGCGTAACATTGGTGGAGATGCTGATCAAATCGATAACAGTCGTGGCGGGGCGATAGGTTTAGGCCATGTCGGATCAAGTTCGGAAGCTAAGAAACTCGCGAGGGCGATTTATTTAAAATTCCGACCACTTGGGCAAGGAAGGACGTATCTCCTACCATCGGATTTTTATCCTGCTTTTCCTGATTCGACTACAGCTCAAGCTGCTTTTCGAGTATTTGATAAGGATAATAACGGGGATCTTTCTCGAGCCGAAATCAAAACTACGTTACTCAAAGTTTATAAAGAACGTAGGTTTTTGGCTCGGTCCATGCGAGATGTGGGGATAGCACTTCAGAGCTTGGATGGGATATTGTTGTTCTTCGCATTGGTCATCATATTCTTCATTAGCTTGTCGGTGTTTGGAGTACAAGTTGGGGATTCGATCAGTAGTGTGTACACGCTGGGCATAGGAGCAAGTTTTATTTTCAAGACCAGTGCGAGTAACGCCTTTGATGCGATCATGTTTTTATTTGTTACGCAGTGAGTTAGTCCCCCTTACCTCTTCTTATTCATCTTTTTTGGTTCTCAGCTAACGACCCCCCTTTCCTGCATTAGTCCTTATGACACCGGTGACCGATGCTTCATCGACGATGAAATCCTTGTCGTGAAAAAGATGGGCTTATTCGCTACTATATTCGCACGAGTGGACGGGACAGAGACGTATTATTTTAACAGTCAGCTTTCCTCAAAGTTTATGTGAGTGCTTTACTTGCTTAGCCTTTTTATATTCATACTCACTGTCCTTCCTCTACACACACACACACACACACACAATCACTCCCTCTCTATCTCACTATAGTACCAATGTTCGTCGTTCTGGCCAAATGTACGAAAACGTTACTCTGCAAATCCACTGGCGGACTCCCATCGCCAAGCTCGACGCTCTTGAAAAGTATCTCAATAACTGGTTGCAGACGGAGCAAAATCGTTGGTTTGTACCAAGTACAGCGATCATGTTTCAAAGTATCAATTTCCAGAGGTATCTAGAGGTTACGATTGGGATTGGGCATAACGGGTAAATGTTCCTCGTTTCGCCATATTTATCTTTTTTTTTCCCGTCTTATCGGTTACTAATTACTGCCCTATTTCTTCATTCCACAGAACCTGGCAAGATTGGGGACTCCGCTGTGCCCGCAAAACTGCTTTCCACGCCGCTGTCCAACATTATACTCGTCAACTCGGTATTCTCTGTTATGAATCTACTCAACCGATTGTTTATAGTAATGCTTCTGATTCTCCCGCTATCAACGTCTTCAATGATAGTACGATGCCTCCTCCGCCTTCGCCTGGAGGCTATGGTGGATGGTCAGGATCTGGTGGATACGAAGTAGAACCAGGTCCAGATGGAGGTGTGGATATTGTATATGGTGGTAGTGGTTCTGGCGCTGGTGTCGATGATAGGAATAACATTTCGCCCGCGGCAGCTGCAGCGCTTGGTGCAGGCGAGAAAGAAAGTGGGTTGAAGACTGCGCTTGGGTTCACACCTCCTGAGGGTCTAGTTGGTTCACATTTAAGAGCGAGGAAGACGAAGAGTAGGAAAGTCATGGTTGGATTAGCTGGAGATGGGTGAATGGGTGAATTTTCTCCCTTTTAACGTCTCAGCATATGAAGGAAGGCAAAGTGATACTAAAGTACACACACACATTTTGCCAAGGAAAGACGAAAAGAAACGAATTGGGACTATCATTTACATGATACACTTACGCACTGCTCCATTTAAATCTCCAGAAACAAGACTAGATACTAGATTCTCACTGTTTCGTGGACATTGTCGCATTTTGCATTATATTTTTTTTTCATCACATACATAGATTATAACAGCATATACTTACTCCTCAGTGTTATTAACCTCTTGGTCGTCAATGTCAGTGTTGATATCTCGCTGATTCGTTCCTTGCATCTTTATTCCTCTTTTCCTATTTCTTCATCAAGTGGGCAGGTGGTTAGGTTTATTTCTGGAAGCACAAAGGGATCATAACTTCTGAGCCAAAACTGGAAAGCTTACGTCACCCCTGGTGAGGCTCATCAGCAGCCAACGGCCATAATCAGGCCCCTAGAAGCTTTCCCAGAATCTTGTCCGGGCTGACACTGTAATCTATACAATGATCTCAGCCCTGAAATCACACTTTAAAGGACAAAAAAAAAATCAAAAAAATCACTTAAAACTCACTGAAAATCCTTATTCTAGTCCCCTAAACTTTTAAAAACAAATATCTGTGTACTTGCATTTCTGCATTTTTGGAATTTTTGAAAGTCAGGAATATCCTGTACCTAGAAATTTTCTGCTTGGAAACTCTTAATTACGCTATACCAGACAAGGATGGTTGCCCTTTAGCTTCAATCTACATAATATCTGGACAAGGTATTGGTCGATTTTGACCTCTAAAATACGCAATTTCGGACAGGGGTTTAAAAGGACTTCTAGCCTCTTTATTCGAAGCTGCATCTTTGATGGCTTATAAGCTACATACTTTCAACAAGCACTCACATGAAATATACAATATAATCTTTATGCTTGATGATAAGTTTT